AATTTTTCAAGACCTTTAACATATCTGTCTTAAATACATTTCTTTTTTTATAATTTTATTTTTTTATTTAAATTTTATTTTATATTCCCCATACAATTACAACCCCCTTATTTTGACTGCAAGCCATCCTTTCCCTGCCCCCCACTCCCCATAGAGTGTCTCTGATTCATAGTTGTTTGTTGATTTTGATATTTTCTTTCTTATATTCTTTTTCCTGGTCCCTTATTTAAGTTTTCTAGATTTCTGCTTTAAGTGAGACCTTCCAGTATTTTTCTTTTTCTTTCTGACATTTCGCTGAGCATGATCCCTCCCAGCTCCATCCATGTTGCTGCAATTTGCATGTGTTTATCTTTTTTGAATGCTGAGTAATATTCCATGGTGTATATGTACCACATCTTCTTGATCCAGTCATCTAATTTTGGGCATTTGGGTTGTTTCCAAAGCTTAGCTATTGTAAACAGTGCTGCTATAAACATAGGGGTGCAGGTGCTCTTTGGAATTGATGTTTCTGTGTCCTTTGGGTAAATACCTAGGAGTGGAATTGCTGGATCATATGGAAGTTCTATGTTTAGTAGGTCAAGAAATCTCCACACAGCTCTCTTTTTTATGACCAAGAACAAAAACCAATGGGATGTTAAATCTTCAGCCCCATGGTGTGAGGCACAAGGAATCTTCAGCCCCACGTTGTGAGGCTCTTTAGCTTTGGCCCCACGGTGTGAGGCCCTTTAGCTTCGGCCACACAGTGTGAGGCCCTTTTTCTTAGCTGCTTGTCAGTGTCTTACCTGGCTGGGGCATCAAGGGCCCCTGCAGCACCCAGGGCACCAGGCGAGGTTCCCACATGGCGTGCAGACCTCTCCTGCTGCCCGCTGCTCCCCTCAGCAGTGTACTTCATCAGTCTGCCTGTTCTGTTCCCTGCTCTGGCTCTGGTGAATTCTCTCCCCCTCCCGTGCTTCTGTATAAATAAAATAAGTAAATAAATCTTTATTTATATATAAATAAAATAAATAAATCTTTAAAAACAAAAGATCTGGAACAAGACAAGGATGTCCACTTTCACCACTGCTTTTCAATATAATACTGGAAGTCCTAGCCAGAGCAATAAGACAAGAGAGAGACATACAAGGTATCCAAATAGGCAAGGAAGAAGTCAGATGATATGATAATATACATAGAGAACCCCAAAAACTCAACAGAAAAACTAATTAACTAATCAATCAGTTTAGTAAAGTGGCAAGATAGAAAATCAACAACAAAAATCAGTAGCCTTCCTATACACAAACAATAAATCTGAAGAAAAAGAAATCAAGAAAACCATCCCTTTTATTACTGAAACAAAAACAATCAAGTATTTGGGAATAAACCTAATAAAAGAGGTAAAGGACCTATACAAAGAAAACTATAAAACACTGTTAAAAGAAATAGAAGAAGACAAAAGAAATGGAAAGACATCCCCTGCTCATGGATTGGAAGAATTAACATTATCAAAATGGCCATCCTACCAAAAGGAATTTAAAGATTCAATGCTATTCCAATCAAAATTTCAATGACATACTTCAAAGAAATAGAACAAATATTGATGAAATTCATATGGAGCCACCAAAACCCCTGAAATGCCAAAGCCCTCCTGAAAAAAAAAGAAGGGAATTGAGGCATCACACGCTCAGATTTCAAACTATACTACAAAGCCATAATAATCAAAACTGCATGGTATTGGAACAAGAACAGACACACGGACCAATGGAACTGAATAGAAAATCCAGAAATAAACCCACAGACCTACAGCTAACTAATCATTGACAAAGGCGCAAAGAATATGCAATGGAGCAAAGAAAGTTTGTTCAATAAATGGTGCTGGGAATACAGGGTCACTACATGCAAAAGAATGAAGCTTGACTGCTACCTCACATGATACACAAAAAACAACTCAAAATGGATTAAAGAACTAGACTTAAGACCTGAAACCATAAAATATAAAGAAGGAAATTGCCGCGGACCAGCACAGCAGTAGACGATGAGGCCACCTCAGGGTTGAGAGAAGCATGCAGGGTGGTCAGGGCGTCGGCAAAAGAAATGACAAACAGACACACTTCAAGAGTGAAAATCTGAGTGTAATTTTCTTTAAGTTTGTGACCAGTATATATATGTTTTCCAAAAGCACAGGAATGAATATCAATAAAATCAGCTTGCTCATGGGCTCAGTCTATCACCATCAGGGAGGTGATCTACATAACAAACAATGACCATTATAGAAGAAAGGAGGAAGTTTAGAAAGACAGATAAGGGATTAAAGTTCATAGTACTAGAAAGAAGGGATAAGATTTTTAGCATTCTTGTAGTGGTTCTTGGTGGTCCTTATCTTTTGATAAGCTTCTGCCTTTTCAGGGAACTTCAGCTGAACTTCCTCTGCTTCAGGCTGTTCTCCCACCCCCCCACACCCCCCCCACCCCCGCTTGCTGGTTGCCCAGCCAGATCTAGGGACCCTGGCGAAAGCCATTCCTAAAGATCACTGCGGGGGGAGGTGCAGCAGATAGGGTTTTGCTGTTCTCCCCCTGCGCGCTGGTTGCGGACATAGGGACGGTTAGCCCTAAAGGTCACTGCAGGGGGAGGTGCAGCAGGAAATATAGGCAAAACACCACATGACATGCACCTCAAAAACATCTTTGTAGACACATCACCCAAAGCAGTGATAGTGAAGGCAAAATATAAACAGCTGGGACTACATCAAGTTAAAGAGCTTCTGCACAGCAAAAAAGACAATAACCAAAGCAAAGAGAAACCCCAATGACTGGGAGAAAATTTTTGCACACAACACTAATGATAAAGGACTGATCACAAAAATCTGCAAAGAGCTGATGAGACTCAACAAAAATAAAGTATATAATGCAGTCCAAAAAATGGGCAGAAGAGCTAAAAAGGAACTTCTCCAAGGAGGAAATGCAAATGGCCAACAGGTATATGAAAAAAAATGTTCAATATCACTTGTAATCAGGGAAATGCAAATCAAAACTACAATGAGCTACCAACTTACACCTGTGAGAATGGCACATATTAAAAAAAACTAGCAACAACAAATGTGGGTGAGGATGTGGAGAAAAAGGAACTCTCCTGCACTGCTGGTGGGAGTGCAAACTGGTCCAACCACTATGGAGAGCTGTGTGGAGATTCCTCAACCTACTAAAGATAAAGCTTCCAAAGATAATTGCTTCCAGCAATTCCACTCCTAGGTATTTACCCAAATGACACAGAAACATCAATTCAAAGGGGCACCTGTACCCCTGTGTTTATAGCAGCACTATTTACAATAGCTAAGCTATGGAAACAACCCAAATGCCCGAAAATAGATGACTGGATCAAGAAGATGTGGCACATATATACCATGGAATATTACTCAGCAATCAGAAAATATAAACTTATGCAATTTGCAGCAACATGGAGCTGGAAGGGATCATGCTCAGTGAAATAAGCCAGAAAGAAAAAGAAAATTACTGGATGGTCTCACTCATAGCAGGAATTTCAAAAACCTAAATAAGGGACCAGGAAAAAGACTAACTATAATAAAGAAAAATTCAAAACCAACAAGTAAGTATAAACCAGAGACACACTACGGTGAGGGATGGTGGTGGTGAGGAGAGGAAGGATTTGGGTCAAAATAAAGGGGGTGCTGGGCCTCCCCTGGTGGCACAGGTGGTTGTGCACAGTGCTGTGAAGCTGTGGGCATCCTCTGCAGCACAGGTTCAATTCTGTCCAGGCGGAGAGGGTCCCACATGGCTCAGCAGACCTCTCCTGGGTCGCCTGCTGCCCCCCTCAGAAGTGTATTTCAGTCACTCTGCCTGTTCTGTTCCCTGCTCTGTCTCTGGTGAATCCTCTTACCATCCCGCACATCTGGCCTATACCCTGGTTCTTGTATAAACAAATAAATCTTTAAAAAAAATAAGGGGGTGGAATTGTATGGGGAATACACCCAAAATGAAAATGCATACATTGTGCAAAAATGAAAAATTATATAAGAATTATATGAAGTAAAATATTAAAAAAAATCATATATTAGCACAAGTTCCAACCAATATGCAAGAGAGGCCTGTGGAAATGTAACAATAGGAAATATTCCATGATATTATTTCAGGTTTCACTTTACAAATAACCTTCGAGAAACTACCACCTGTGTATATATATATATATATTTTTTTAAAAGATTTATGGGCCTCCCCTGGTGGCGCAGTGGTTGAGTGCTGGGCTGCAAAGCTGCCCTCAACCTCTGCAGCACCGGTTCAATCCCTGGCCGCCAGCAAGGGTCCCACATGGCATGCAGACCTCTCCTGCCACTCACTGCTCCCCTCAGCAGTGTACTTATTCAGTCTGCCTGTTCTGCTCTCCACTCTGGCTCTGGTGGATTCTCTCACCCTCCCACACTTCTGACTGTACCCAGTGCTTGTATAAATAAATAAATAAATCTTTAAAAAAAAAAGATTTATGTATTTATGCATACAAGAACTGGGGTACAGGCCAGAGGTGCAGGAGATGGTGAGAGGATTCACCAGAGACAGAGTGGGGAGCAGAACAGGCAGACTGAGTGAAATACACTGCTGAGGGGAGCAGCAGGCAAGTCAGGAGAAGTCTGCTGTGCCATGTGGGTATCTCCATGGCTGGGGATCAAACTTGTGCTGCAGTGGCTGTGGATAGCTTCATAGGTTGTGTCTGAAAGCCTTGTGCCACCAGGGAGGCCCCATCTGTTTAGTTTTAATTCAGTATCAATATTCACAATTATCTGAAAATATTGCTAGTTTCTTCATTCCTCCAGGCTGCTGCTTCCTCCAGCCCAAATCCACTCCTCCTAAAGGTGGGGAAGGGAATTTGGAGCCTCCCCTGTCTGTGGATGTCACACTGTTACAGCATCACGTCTCCCTCTCACAGGCTCTGTGGGGTGGGGCAGCCTTGATGACCCCACACTCACCCCCATTCTCTCTCCCCATTTCCCGGGGTGTCCAGGGAAGACAATCAGCATCGTCCTGCTCCAGTTGCAAAGTCTCCAAGGACCCTCCTGGACTCCTTCTCCCCAGACCCCTGGAAGGAGTGTGATGCCCCTCACCCTCCTGCTGCTGCTCTGGGGGCCCCTGGCCCTGATGGAGACCCGGGCGGGTGAGTGCGTGTCCAGCTGGACACTATTGCTCCAGGAGGGAGGAGCAAGGGGCCCACTGCGGGTGCAGGACCCCAGGAAAGGCTCATCTCCCCCCGACCTCTTGTACCCCCTTCAGGTCCCTTGTGTTCTGTCCCCTTCTGTCCCTCCCGCCTCCCCTGAGTGCTCTGGTGCCCTGAGTCTGGGCCCTTCTTGGCCCACCGCCCCTTTTCACTCTCACGGCCCCGCCCCTTTCTCCCCTCCAGGCCCATCTCCCTGGGCCCTGGGCCCACGCTGAGAGGAGGGTCAGCCAGGTCTCCCCTCCTGCCCCCAGGCTCCCACTCCCTGAGGCTTTTCTACACCATGATGTCCCGGCCCGGCCCCGGGGAGCCCCGCTACATCGCCGTGGGCTACGTGGACGACACGCAGTTCGGGCGGTTCGACAGCGACTCTCCGGGCCAGAGTGCGGAGCCGCGGGCGCCCTGGGCGGGGCAGGTGGGGCAGGAGGACCTGGACGAGGAGACTCAGAACCAAAGGGACAACGCGCAGTGGCTCAAAGCGCTCCTGAGGGACCTGCGCGGCCGCTACAACCAGAGCGAGGACGGTGAGCTTCGCGGAGCGGTGCCAGGGTCAGGTCACCCCCATTCCCACCCTAAGGCCGGGGTGTCCCAGTCTCAGGGTCCACTGACCCCTCGAGGCGGGTGGATCTGCCAGGACCCTCCACCAGGAAGAACCCGCGGGACATTCCTGCCTGTATTTCATTTTCAGTTTAGGTTTATTGAGGTTTATTCAGAGAGGGCGGGGTGACCTCGGGGCTGACCACAGGGGTGGGTTTCAGGGTCTCACACCCTCCAGAGGATGTTTGGCTGTGAAGTGAGCCCAGACCTGAGACTCCTCGGCGGGTATGACCAGTTCGCTTACGACGGCGCGGATTTCATCTCCCTGAGCGAGGACCTGCGCTCCTGGACCCCGCGGACTCGGGGGGCTCAGATCACCCAGCGCGCGTGGGAGGCGGCGGGCAGGGCCGAGCGCGTCAGGCACAGTGTGCAGAGCAGGTGCTTCCCGTGGCTCCTCAGATTTCTAGTTTTGGGGAAGGAGGTGCTGCAGCGCATAGGTAAGAGGGGCCAAAAGACCTCGGACCTCCCCTCAAACTGGAAGAGGGGGGTTTCGTGGGGGGCGAATGGAATAATGGGCAGAACAGCAGCTGCTTTCTGGGCAGAGAGGGAGAGTCCCCCTGGGTTTCATGTTCTGTGCTAGAGAGAGACTTGCCCAGAAGACACCACTTTTCTGGAGGGTTAAGGAATCCAGTCTCTCCTGAGGGAGGGGAGGCCTTCCTGAAATAACACTTCCAGGATCCTTTTGACCTGGCAGCCATCCTGGGAAACATAAGCTTCTCTTTCAAGGTCTTGTTTTTGGTCTGAGAACATTTCTGGATCTGACTCCTGCCTTTCTGTGTCATTCACCCTCCAACCAAGTCTGGAGTAAAAGTCTGTGTTCTCCCCAGAGACCCGCATCCTCCCTCGTGGGCCCCCTCCTCAGATTCCCCAGACTAGGCTGGTTTTTGGGTTTTGTGCTTCCTCCCTCCAAACCAATTGTCATGTTTGTTCTGAGGATGGTCAGTGAGTCTGCTTCAGTGTCCAAGAAGGAAAACCCAAAGTGTGATTTTTTTTGACCCTTCTCCTCAGATCCCCCAAAGACACAGGTGTCCCTCCACGTCACCTCTGACCGTGATGTCACCCTGAGGTGCTGGGCCCTAGGTTTCTACCCTGCAGACATCACCCTGACCTGGCAGCGAGATGGGGAGGAACTGACCCAGGAGATGGAGCTGGTGGAGACCAGGCCTGGGGGGGATGGAACCTTCCAGAAGTGGGCGGCTATGATGGTGCCTTCTGGAGAGGAGCAGAGCTACACGTGCCATGTGCAGCATGAGGGGCTGCTGGAACCCCAAGTCCTGAGATGGGGTAAGGATGGGGACGTGGGCTCTGAGTTTCTTTTTTTTTTTAATATTTGTTTATTTATACAAGAACTGGGGTAAAAGTTAGAGGTGCGGGAGGGTGAGAGAATTCACCAGAGACAGAATGGGGAGCAGAACAGGCAGAAAACCGAAAACACTGCTGAGGGGAGCAGCAGGAGAGATAGGAGAGATCTGCCATGCCATGTGGGTATCTCCCTGGCCAGCCGGGAATCGAACTCGTGCTGCAGAGGCTGTGGACAGCTACAGAGCACTGCATTCAACCCACTGTGCCACTAGAGAGGCCCTGAGCTTCTGTTTGGAGGAATCAGGAGCCCTTCTGGAGACCTTCAGAGAGTCAGGATGTTCCTGGGGCTCAGGGTCTCATCTTCCCGTCCCTTCCAGTGCCCCCTCCTCAGTCCTCTGTCCCCACTGCGGGCATCATTGCTGGCCTGGTTTTCCTTGGAGCTGTGCTCACTGGAGCTGCGGTGGCTGCAGCTGTGATGTGGAGGAAGAAGCTCAGGTAGGGAAGGGAGTGGGGGATTTTGTCCACTGGGGGCTTTCATGTCCCAGGGAGGACTTGCCTTACCTGGGTAGGAGGAAGTACCATCCACACATGTGTTGCCCAGTCTGGTGCTGATTGCTAACACTCAGGTTTTTGTAAAACACTTTTGAAAATGAATCACCAATTATTCACCTTATAATTGTGGTGATGGGGATCTGTTTCCCAGTAAATGCCAATGGGAAGGGACCCTGCTGTGGAAAGACTCCAATTCCCTTTCATATCCATTCTTCATATATCCCAGTCCTGACCTGGGTCTTCAGTCACAGTTCTAGAAATTTCCCTGTGACCCAGACTTGGAGATTCCTTTAGGACTCCATGGGCTGACTTCTCCCTTGTCTCACATTTTCTTCCAGTAGGGGGACAAGCAATCAGCTACACTCAGGGTGCAGGTAAGTGTAGATCAGTGGTTGGATCCCTGAGCCCCTGAGGACTGTATAGAGGGAACTCTAGGGAGAGTCACTGTTGCACGAGGATGATCAAGAGGTGACCTGAGGATGGCAAGGGAAGGGCTGACCGAAATGCTGAGAAAACTTGCATGTGCCAGGGTGGAAAACCACCTGGGAGGGACGCCCCGGACTTGCTTTGTCCTTGGAAGTCTCCTTGGTCGTAACTTAGCAACAGAGGCTCACAAGGACAGGCATGTCCGACAAGCACAAGGGCTCACATAAGTGATGTGTATGAGCTCACACACATGGTGTGTGAGGCAAGGTTGTTTTGGCTTTCTCTGACTTACGATAAAACGCAGATGTATTTGTTCACAATTCCCATATAACCATGCTGAGAAAAGTAGAGGATCACTGCTTGTAGCTGACAGTAGTCCCCCTTCTGGTGGGTCCTTCATGACCAGCGTCCCAGGTCTCAGAGCCCACTGGAGGCTCACAAGTGGTGCCCAAACAGGGACCTGAAGGAGAAACCTCCCACTGAAGTGATGAGGTGACAGCAGTGGTCTCGACTCCACAGAAGGACGTGAGTAGAGGTGGGGAATTCCAGATGGGGCAATCTTCTTCAAGGCTTTCTACTTTTGCTTTGCTTCTGGAGCATCTGCTTTCTCACCATGGGGCAAAAATACCCCTTAACCAGATTCTAGAATGTTTAACGGTAGTGGAAAAATATAACCCATGGTTCCCAGAGGGCAGGTTGCTTGATATAGAAACTTAGGAACAAGTAAGAGATAACATGACACTGTCTTATAAATGGAGGAAGAAATGCTTCAAGCTTTTCCTGTTAATAATTTGGGGGGGGAGGCCAGGCTTCCTGCCACTGGAGTTTTGCCATTTGTTCTTTTTAAGAAATATAAAAAAGGTATTTCTAAAAAATGGTATTCAAATTTCATTCACAATTGTTAAAGTGATAGGAAATGGTTATAATATGACTATATGAGACTAAAAGGTTTTTATTAAAATATTGTAAACCCACTGCAGTGGACAGGTGGAGGCTACCCCAGTCTCAGCAAGCAGCTGCCTGGACTTTTTCCCCAGTGTTGAGATCACTGGCAGGTCTCTGCTGCCTTTCTGCTGTAGGGGACTGGACTCTCCTTTTGTCCACCTTAAAACACCATTCTGGCCTGTTCTATAGGTAAAACATCCTATTTCCCTGTGTCTCCTATTTCCTTGGTTGAGTAAAATCTTTTAAATTTACTTATTGGACCTGTAAAAGGTTGTTTCTGGTTAAAAACTAATTAACCTGGTAAAAATATAAAGTGATAATACTAACATTTTTGAGCTAAATTCCTCGGATTTTGATAAAGGCCTAAAAATGGGCAGACTGTAAAAATTTACCTCTTCTCCTAGCCTCAGATAACAGTGCTCTTTTTTGTCTTAAAAATATGCTTGTTCTCAGGGCCTCCTCTGGTGGCGCAGGTGGTTGAGCACCACACTGTGAAGCTGTCTGCAACCTCTGCAGTGCTGGTTCGATCCTGGCTGGCTGGCGAGGGTCCCACATGGCATGGCAGACCTCTCCTGTCACACCCGCTGCTCCCCTCAGCAGTGTATTTTGTCAGTCTGCCTGTTCTGTTCCCCGCTCTGTCCCTGGTGAATCCTCTCACTCCCCCACGCATCTGACCTATACCCCCGTTCTTTTTATAAATAAATAAATAAATCTTTAAAAAATATGCTTGTTCTCAGTGAGATAAAACCATAACAACTTAAAGCCAAAGGATCATTTCTTTAAAATATAAACTCAAAAAATATTTTCTTATCTAAAGAAAGTTAGTAAAAACTGCTGTGACTGTTGTAGTCTCGAGCCCAAGGTCTTTAGTAATAATAAATCTACACATATTCTATGTAAAGATTTTAGCTTTTAACTCATTAAAAATCTTTTTAATATAAAAGTGTAACAAAAAAAAAAACTTGGTAAGTGAGAATATGAAACATAAATGAGAAGCTAAGGTATCTCAAAAACTAGGTTGTTTGAGATGTTTTATGAAGGCTCTTTTACAATTTTAAAGGAATTTTTTTTCAGGTCTTAAAATACTAATGTAAATTCTCTGTGCACGGCTTCTTCAAAGCCAGAGTCACTCTTAAAAATACAAATTTAAAATGTGTTTGATCTAAAAGAATTGTTATAGAACTAAAATTAAATCATTAACAGGTTTCTCAGTGTCTTCACAAATATTTATAAAATAAATATCTCTTAAAATTTATACACATGGCCAAAGTTGAATATGAATATCAAGAACTCTCTGTGTTTGTTTGTAACTGTCTTTGTTTTGTTTTGTTTTTTATCTCCATAGGACTAATTATAAATCTTTTGATAGAATTCAAAGCATATATGCTTTAAAGTCATAATGTTAAGTGTTAATAATTTACTCTGTTTAAATGTGTTTCTTTCAAAAGAAACTTCTGGTATAAAAGGTACTTTTGTCTGTCCTACTGAGTCACATGTATATGAAAAATGTACATAGTATCTATATGTTGCTCTGATTTTTCTTGTTTTTATTAATCTGCCTAATGCTTGTTTGATTATTAGCCAGTCTAGAAAAAACTTGGTATGTGCCATTGTTTTATTAACAGCCCTGCAAAATGGAATTCCAGTCATAACAGGAACTAAAGCTACAACTAAACTTTCATAGTTGCCTTAGTGTTTTGGGAACACATCAGCTGAAATAATTTTTGGTTAACAGTAACTGAGTTGTAATCCAATGGGTTGTTTCAAACATGTACTTATAAACTCACATTGGGTATAAACTTAGCTCTTGTCTGGGTTAATGATGTTGGGTACATAATGTCTTTTAAGTGTCTGAAAAATTACTAAGGTTTTTGAGATGAAAATTAAAGGTTATGATTTGAATGTCAATATACTTAGGGCGGGAACTTTCGTAGAGATTTAAATATGGTTGTTGTTGCTGTTTTCTAATATTTAT